GAAAACATGTAACCCCCGTGCACCAAGATGAAGTGCGTTACGAAGGCCGGTTAGCAATGCTTCGCATTCGGCCTCGTTATTTGATGCATCGAAGCCCAGTTTGACTGTCTGCTCGCTTATTGCCCCTTCAGGGGTCAGGATTACTACGCCTGTCCCGCTGCCACGTTGGTTGGATGATCCGTCACAATACATTTGCCATATGTCTCCAACATATATTCGCCAGTCAGGTTTAGGTTGAAGGTGGACTTGATCAAACTTGAAGTCGACATGGCATCCCGTGAACTCAGCTACAAAGTCAGCAAGCACCTGCCCCTTAATGGCCATTCTGGGTAAAAACTCGATATCATACTGGCTGAGTTCCAAAACCCATTTAGAGACTCGCCCTGATGCTTCCGCACTACGGAGCGCTGATCGGAGAGGATAGTCCGTTAATACTCCTATGGTATGAGCTTGAAAGTAGTGCATTAACTTTCTTGCTGCCACCGCGAGAGTAAAGATGACCTTTTCCAGTGGTAGGTATCATGTTTTGGCGTTGACATTACCTTGCTTACATAGTAAATTGGTCGCTGCTCCCTGAGTTCTTCCTTTAGTAACATGACGCTAACCACCCGGTCAGATATCGTCAGATACAAGATGAGTGGATCGCCTGGGGTTGCCAAGAGTGGCACTGAACGGAAATAAGTTTTCAAGCCATCCAGCGTGGCCTCGCACTCGAGGGTCCATGCAAATGCCTTGCCCTACCGAAGTGTGTGAAAAAATTGTCGGCAACGATCTGAGGAACGACTGATAAACCTATTGAGGGTGGCGGCCATTCCCATCAACTTCTGAACTTCTTTAACCGACTGAGGGGAGCCGAGTTCTAGAATTGCTGTGATCTACCTCGAGTTGGCCTCTATTCCGCGATGGTTGACAATATAGCTGAGAAACTTGCCGGATCCGATGCCAAATGCACATTTCGAGGTGTTCAGTTTCATCTTGTACTTTCGGAGAATGCTGTAGGTCTCTGCTAAATCGGATAGATGGGTGCGTTTTTCCTTGGATTTCACCACGTCATCAATATATACTTCCATGGTGTGGCCGAGTTGCTCCTTAAACATAGTGGTAACCAGCCTCTAGTAAGTTACCTCCGCATTCTTCAGCCCGAAGGGCATGACCTTATAGCAATAGGTTCCCCTTAGAGTGAGGAATGCGGTCTTTTCCTGATCTTTTGAATGCATGGCAATTTGGTGATAACCCCTATAGGCATCCAAGAAGCTCCTGCGTTGATGATGTGCCGTTGTGTCCACAAGTTGGTCGATTCTAGGAAGAGGAAAACAATTCTTAGGACAAGCCCTATTCAAATTCACGAAATCCACACAGACACGCCAAGATCCATTTTTCTTCTTTACAATCACGGTATTGGATAACCACGTGGGATAAGTTACTTCACGAATTGTCCCCGCATTAAGCAACCTGTCAACTTCATCAACAACGGCCGATGCATGCTCCGAGGCTGACCTCCAACTTTTCTGAATGATTGGTTTGACTTTTGGATCGACGTTTAAACGATGTTGGGCCACGACTGGATCCACCCCTAGCATTTCGTATGGTGTCCATGCAAACACATCGAGGTTGCCGAGTAAGAAGGAAACCAGCTCGCATCTGTCAACTTTGTTCAGGGAAGTGCCGATCATGAAGAATTTGTCAAGGTTCCCATTGATTTCGATCCGATAAAGGTCTTCAGTTGCCTTCTCGCTGGGGATTTTCCCAATGTCCTCGAGGCTCTCTCGATCCGGTACTTCAATCGAGTTCACTTCCAGTTCCTTTAGCCTTTTTGCGGCAGTAATAAGATAGCATGCCTGTGCTGATTTCTGAGAGCCCCGAATTTGCTCAATGCCATATTCAGTTAGAAAGCGGAGTAGTTGATGGCACGTGCTTGGCAAAACCTACATAGCGTGCAACCAGGTCCTTCCCATAATAAGATTGTATGGTGACAGGAGTTTGACGACCAGAAATTTAACGTCGACTGATTTGGTACCCGCCCGTACTAGTAGTGTGATCTTGCCCAAGGGATACTCGAGGTTGGCATTGAAGCTGAACAATGGGTAATCGGCCGATAACAAATCCAAATTAGTGAAGTCGAGTTTAATGAACGTCTTGTAATACATTGTTTTTGAGTTGCTTCCCTGATCGATGAGAACACGTTCGACTGTGAATCTGTTCACGTATAGCTCGACGACGAGGGGATCAGCATGGGAGAGAGTTACTCCATCTAGGTCGGTGTCGTCGAAGCTAATCTTGCTAGTTTCAGGAGGCCATTTGGCTGGTGTGATTGGCTTGGACAGGATAGGTTGCAACTGAATTGTATGTACTTGGGCTGACGACGGTAGGCTATATATCATGTGAATTACACCAAGTGGAGGTGAATTCGGCCGTAGAGCTACCGTATTCGGTGGATTAGTCTTTCAGACATGTTGCGCCAGCCAGCCGTCTTGCACTAACTCCTCCAAGTAGTCCTTTAGTGCATAACAACTGTCAGTGTCGTGGCCATGATCCTTGTGATACTCGCAACACTTATCCCTTCTCCTAGTATCAGGGGGCCCCATCATCTTGGACGGCCACTTAAAGAATGGAAGATGCTGGACTTTGGGTAAGATCTTACTGATCGGCTCCGCCAATTCCGTATACTTCTTGTCCGAACGTCTGGTGCGCCTATTATCCACTTAATACTGTTCGTTCGAACAAGGCAAACATTGCCTACTTGATCGGCGTGAATCACACTGGTTGTCTCATTTAGCCCGAGTCCGAGGTTTAAGGCTCCTTGGTGGCACAACGCTTATTGGCAGAACCAGACCAAATGGAGCCGATTTGACAACTTTCTGTCCGGCCTTGACGCGCAGGGCATCGTCTTCCACTTTACAGTACTCCTCAACTTTCTTCATTAGTGCCCAGATTGTTTTGGGAGGCCGTCTGGTTAATGAACTGCGGAGAGGACCATCAGGGTGTAACCTCAGCTTAAAGGCGATAATGGCCATGGAATCATTGCAAGCATCACCCACTAAGTTGAAACACTCCCAATAACGTGCCGAATACTCACAGAGGGTCTCTTCTGGTTTAATTTGCATCCCCCAGAGAGAGTCGGCTTGCTTTGGCTAAACCTTGTTGGTAATGAATCTTGCCCTGAAGGATTTTTGGAGGTGATGAAAGCTTTTTATTGACGCCAGCTCTAGTTTGTAACACCATCTGACGGTCAACGATCCCAGGCTACTTGGAAACATTCGACACATGAGGGCTTCATCATCAACATGCAACGTCATCGCTTGTTTGTAATGATGAATGTGATCCGTGGGGTCTGATTTTCCGTTGTACAGGGTGAATGTCGATGCCTTGAACCTTTTAGGTAGCATATCCCTTGCAATGCGTCGTACGAAAGGGTCGTGCCTATCCTCTTCATCCGAACCGTCATTTCCTTTCTCTCACCTGTGTTGTACATATGGACTGCCCTCGGATGAGCTGGATACATCAACTCGCCCGTTCTTTCTAGGTTCCTGAGATGGCAAATCAAAATCACTGCCACTATCATGTTTCCGATGTCAACGACGTTGATCATCCTTCTTCTCTGGCGATCAACCCCGGTCATGATGTGCGGCCTGTTGGGATTTGGCTACCTCCAAGGCCAATTCCTTACATAAACGCTTGTTATCGGCCGCCATATCTTCCAGATGTTGTTCGTTTCGTTTTGCTTGATCCATGATCGTCTCCATAGTCTCCTGCATAGAGGTTGAGGGTGGGGTTTGAGCTATTGGGTCAAAGTTCGAGGCCCTTCGCGAGGTGATATTCTCCGGTCCAAGCATATTTCTTGGAGTAATATCATCTCGTGGTGTAACATTGCCAGCAACGAGTGAAGGATCATCTGTTACGCTTGCCATTAATGTGCTTGAGTATTCCCATAGACGGCGCCAATTATGGTAAAGTGGTTTGGAAATACTCTTTTATCCAGGTAGAGGCTCTTGATCCTCTGGTTACTACCTGAAAAAGGAATGAACACTCTGGTCGAGGGTGCTGGAATTAGCACTCCAACGGACCAGTCAGTCTTTTCTCAAATCTTTCTTCTTTCACAAGTTATTGTTCTTTTTTTTTTTTACATACCTCTCCTTGGCTGACATTCCTCCCTTTTTATATTACGCTTGAGCCCAGGGTCGGGCCCACTCTTGATCTTGCATATAATTATCTAGTCGGCCTTCCAGCTGAGTGTGTTAGCCCTCGTTCGGGTCTTTATATGGCCGATTTGTATACTCGGCTTCATGGGCCTCCGAATAGGGCCGAATTGTCTTCGGCCCAATGTCCCAACCGGACTACTCGGCCTTTCTTCCTCATTACCCAAATTCGGCCTCCACAGAAGATATTAATTAGTTATATTGATATACGTGATTTTATATGTAATTTAGTTACATTGATAATTTACTTTATTTTAAACATTGTGTATTTTTATATGTATATAAATATATAGAATTATATATCATATTAAATAAAATGAATCTTACGATTCACGTTTCGATATGATTCGCGAATCACTATTTTAGCAAAACGATTCACGATTCAATTCGCGATTTGACAACAATGGTTTTGTAGTAAAGATCCATTTATTTTCTTGTTAAACCTTCGGATTATGTTCAAGCTGATTAAGTGCATGTGACGGGACCAAACTTAAAGTTATGGTTCTCACATGCAACTTTCTTAAAAAATCAAGTAGAATTTCGCAAATTGGTGGCATAAGAACATTGGGTTCCAGTCTTCCAGGAAGAAACTGTTAATGGGCTAATCACATTGCTGGCTAAGCATTTGCAAATGGCTTGCTGAGTGAAACCTAGCTACCGTTATTGGCCTAATGCATAATATTACACATCTATAATAATAGTTAAATAAGTTCCTTGCATTGAAGCAAAAGCTCTACACCATGTATCAGTATTATGAGGACAAAAGGCAGAATTGAAACAACCATATTGAAATTTTATACTGACCGCTATTCTCCTTGGTTGTGTGCATATTATGTTACAGTGTCCACCACGTCCTGCTTCGATCATGTCATCCAATATATATTGGGGGACCTACATAAACTGCTAGTCAGAATAAAACATATACTGCCGTTCAGAGAAAAGGAGAATATCAGAGAAGGTTGCACTAGCAAGCTAGGGAAAGCTTATGTTGGGGTGCAAGAATGCATGTTAAAAAGATAAACCAACTATGAGTATATTAACTGGAAAAATAAATCAAATTTGGACCTGAGTTGTCTTTCCAGAACCTGTTTCCCCACAAACAACAAGAACATTATTCTCTTTCAGCAATCGCAATATATCACCCTTCAGCTCAGCAATTGGCAGTGCAGCTCTAGAATCTAACATGTGCTACAAACATGAACCATATATACATTAATACATTATACAAGTTAAAGCGTAACGGAAATGACCAAACAGGGCACGGACAAATTTACTACCTGGCAAAGAAAGAATTAACATATACATACATAATACAGTGAAATTTAAGATAACTTGCTCCACTTAATGTTGCTAAATGACCCTAATCTTGGTTAAAAGCTGATTGCAAGAACTTGATGGGGGGGGGGTTATAAAAGATGATTAGGGTTTACAAGAAATGCAATTTACAAGATGATCCCTGAGTGCTATCCCTGAGTGCTGATTACAGTGATTACAGACAGACCCTAGTGTGCCTTTCGGCGAATACAAAATGCTATCACTTAATATAATATGCTAACAAATATAACAAAAAAAAAATAGGGACGAAGCACAAATCACCAAGCAGTGACCAAAATGAACAAATAAAGACTTCTAAATAATCACTAGTAATTTAAACATATATGCATCCCATATCCATATGGTTGTAGTCCCAAATCTTGTAACAATTTTGAATACTCTTTATAGATGAGAAGCACGGACGCATTACACAAACACGATATGGACATGTTGACACAGAAATGCAAAAAAATGCTGAACGCGACACGTGGAGGACACACTCAAAATATATAGTTTTATATATTTATTATATATCATATATAGAGATAAGCAATTATTATATGCCATGTATATAAATGTTTAATTCAAAGATAATAACAAACTGCAATATAATACTAATTTCTAGAGTCTAAAGACTAATTTTAAAGTTTAAAAAGGCTGATAGGTATAGATTTACATTATTTTTCTTTTATCATTGGATTTTTAAAAAATAATATTCAAATTAGTTATGTTTTTCATGTGGTTCGAAGCGACAAACACGTGTTTCCCACGTGTTTAAAGTGTGTCTAAGTCTAGAAAAATTTTTGTTAAAATGTACCAAAACCTACCACTACACCTACTCCACCCACTTCACCTACTCTCCACCTACTCCTCACCTACTCCTCACCTACTACACACTCACCCTCTCCTATATATAGGAATCATCGTAACCATAACAATATATCAATCAATAATACAATTCTCTATTTCTTTTTATACATCAATTTTAACATGGTATCAGAGCAAGGTTAAGAACCTATTCATTCTGCTTCACCGGCGGGCGGCAGCCTCGCCTTGGCCGTCCGCCGGACCTCTACACATAACCCCCTGTTTTCGTCTTTGCAACACACTCTCTCTCTAAAAAAAAAAAAAAAAAAAAGTTGAGTTACTGAAAAGTTGAACCTGGTATGTAAATAGCAAGATCAGGCCACCCCAATCACCATTCTGAACACCCAAACCATCCCTTTCCACACATCTCTCTGTTTACCCCTGTTCTCTCTCTTTCTCGCTGCAAACCATGCTTCTTACCGCTGCTTCTGCTTTCTCTCTCTTGAACACTCATGGCGACAATCCGAGCCCCTTTATGTCCCCTGCTTCGTCTTCTTCGTTGAACTATGCGGCCTCTGTTCTCGGTGTTTCGCAATCGAAGAGTCAAAATGGGTTCGTGGTTTGCGCTGCCAAGGGTTCACACAATAGTCCCTTAACCGGAGTCGTTTTCGATCCCTTCGACGAGGTGACAAAGGAGCTTATGCTTGTCCCTAATGTCCCTCAAGCCTCTCTCGCTCGCCAACAGTATTCCGATGAGTGTCTCGGGCTGCATCTCCCCTCCAAGCAGCCTGTGCACCTTCTTCTTACAGTGATGCTGAGTCCACGGCTAGCCCCACTCCAAATCACATTGACCATTCCCCTAACATATCACCATTCTGAAGTGAATAATGCTGGTGGGCCCTACCACTAGCAAAAGCAATTTATAATAATAATTTCTCTCTCTCACCTTATTTTTTTACCACCCCACTTTCCTTTTCTTTATTTTATTTTATTTTTCGTAATCAAAAAAAAAAAAAATCCATTCACATGACATGCATTTAATCTCTCCCTCTCGGAAGACCTATGCACATGGGCACCCACTCAACACACAACCCAGATACACACACATGCACGACATCCTCTCTCTTCATCATGTACCCCACTCTCTATCTCTCATCTTTCCACTTTCAAACACAATCCTTTTTTTAATCAACCCACTCAACTTTCTTTTATTTTAATATATATCTATATATATATCTATGTTTATTCTAATATATTGCACCGACTCTGTCTACTTTTGCACAAATCCATTTTCTTTTCTTCCACTCTTTCTTTATTTATTTCTTTTAATCACCTTTTGCACCTCCCTCACCGACTCCCTCACCACAAACTAGAATTTTTATTTATTTATCTTATCTTTTTTGTGTTCCTTTTTTCACAATAAACAAAACAAAAATATATATAGTTTTGCACACCAAACCATATTTTATTCATTTCAGGGATCAACCCCGATTACAATTTTACACACAAAAAAAAAAAAAACAAAAAAAACAAAACAAACAAAAAAAAAAACAAACAAACAAAAAAACCAAAACACAACACCCACAGATTTGTTTTCTTTTCTGCAGACGGCCACCCACCGACCTCACTTCTTCGCCTATTCCGCCGGTCTTTTTAAACCTAACCCACTACACCACTACCACCTCACCTACTCCACTAAACCTAACCCACTACACCACTACCACCTCACCTACTCCACTAAACCTAACCCACTACACCACTACCACCTCACCTACTCCACTAAACCTAACCCACTACACCACTACCACCTCACCTACTCCACTAAACCTAACCCACTACACCACTACCACCTCACCTACTCCACTAAACCTAACCCACTACACCACTACCACCTCACCTACTCCACTAAACCTAACCCACTACACCACTACCACCTCACCTACTCCACTAAACCTAACCCACTACACCACTACCACCTCACCTACTCCACTAAACCTAACCCACTACACCACTACCACCTCACCTACTCCACTAAACCTAACCCACTACACCACTACCACCTCACCTACTCCACTAAACCTAACCCACTACACCACTACCACCTCACCTACTCCACTAAACCTAACCCACTACACCACTACCACCTCACCTACTCCACTAAACCTAACCCACTACACCACTACCACCTCACCTACTCCACTAAACCTAACCCACTACACCACTACCACCTCACCTACTCCACTAAACCTAACCCACTACACCACTACCACCTCACCTACTCCACTAAACCTAACCCACTACACCACTACCACCTCACCTACTCCACTAAACCTAACCCACTACACCACTACCACCTCACCTACTCCACTAAACCTAACCCACTACACCACTACCACCTCACCTACTCCACTAAACCTAACCCACTACACCACTACCACCTCACCTACTCCACTAAACCTAACCCACTACACCACTACCACCTCACCTACTCCACTAAACCTAACCCACTACACCACTACCACCTCACCTACTCCACTAAACCTAACCCACTACACCACTACCACCTCACCTACTCCACTAAACCTAACCCACTACACCACTACCACCTCACCTACTCCACTAAACCTAACCCACTACACCACTACCACCTCACCTACTCCACTAAACCTAACCCACTACACCACTACCACCTCACCTACTCCACTAAACCTTCCCCCACTTAAACCTACTCCACTAAACCTAACCCACTACACCACTACCACCTCCACTTCACCTACTCCTTACCTACTACACACTCACCATCTTCTATATATAGGAATCATGAATCATTGTAATAAACATAACATTATATCAATCAATAATACAATTCTCTATTTTTCTTTATACATTAAATTTCTACAGTATCGCAGCATGTCCATGTCTGACATGGTGTCCAACAATACATGACACCTCAGACACCTTAGAATGTACATGCTTCTTAATTGATGGTTGACCCCTTTTTCATAAGGTGATTGTAATGGGTCATAAGCCATTGTTGAAGTACTCCATGTATTTTTTTCATGAATTTAAGTAATTTGGAAAGAAGAGAAACAGTCCCAAGACTACAAGTATTCTTCATCTCCATCAGCTTAATTTATCCCAAAAAAAATAAGGGATTTGAGAATTAAATATTAAATTTCTTGATGTCACTTAACCATATGTTATAAATTCCATGTAATGGTAGAGTTACAAACTTTTGTTACAGTACTACACCCTAAACCAAGTAATTTATACAGTATACTTAATAAAAAGGAACAACAGGAAAAACATTTAGGATCCAGACTTGTGTTTCTTTCTAAAATACAGAATGAGAACAAACATATCCAAAGCTTCCAGTTCATACATGCCATAGTCAGCATACTTGTGTGCCAATATACCCTCACAGCATAATTGACTTCCAATGGCACCTACTAATTAAAAAAATGCATTGCTAGTGCTGTAGATAGCTGCAATATACTGTATCATTGTGACAGATCAATAGTACATGAGTGCAGGAGTTGCTAGGACATGAAGTCAAGTGGGATAGGAAAAACGGTATAATGTGAAAGGGCATGTTAGGTACAACTAGAAACTTACTGAAGTCTCTCCACCAGATCACTTTCCAAAGGAGAAGTAAAAGAGGAAGATACTAACCTTGTATCTTTGCATTTTCTTTTTATTCTCTAGCTCCTGTCTCAGACAAGAACTCTCTGCTTCTTTTTTATAGTTGAGACCTGTATATTAAAAAAATGAATCACGATTCAGAAGACTTTGAGGAGGATCACATCTTTTTTGAGCATGAAAGCCATCTTGCAAACCCCTAATTAATATCTTAAAGGCCTCATCAATTTAGGCACCGAAGCCCTGACTAATAGTCGATTGTCTCCCTTGTTATTTTCCAAGTCACACTTCCATTGATAAAAGGGATAAAAATTACTTTAGACAAGAAAAGGCCCATGGAGAAGCCCATGAACATACTTTCAGCTTTTAGACTAGCTGGAGCAGCAGTTGAGTCGATGTTTTCTTGCATAAGTGGTTTTTGAAACTTTTCTTCAAGAGAACCACTCAAGGCATCAACAGAAGCAATTGATTCAGGGCCATCAGCATTTAACAATGAATCCACAAAACCAGCCATTCGATCTTCCTCACTGTCTCCTATCTTGGTTGATAATTCCCCTGCAAAATTTCAAGCAATAGAGAAATTGACTACAGGTCCAAAAACAACATATCATACTTCCAGTATGAATGGAAATTTAAACTGAGATTTATTTCCATATCAAAGGAATTTCAAGTCTACAGTACACAATGAAGTCAAAGCCTTAGAAAAGATAGTTCTGCCAATTTGACGTCATAGAATGTAAGAAAAGTCACCTTCCACCCAGTGTAGAACAAGTGAAGCATAAGGCTCTATAATAGGCAGGTGGACAGGGAGATCCGGAAACAGGCGATGGAGAGCAAATGCTGCAACTCTATTCTGTGCATCCTGAGACCAGATGTACTTAAGGAAGTGAAATTCACAGGCAGGTAAGCAAAAACTCAATTCATTGATTATTTTCAGACGGGAAACTTTATTAAGATAAAAACATGAACAGAAGAAAGCTGAACAAAAGCACATCTTTCTGAATGTGAAACAGCCAAGGAACTGAGAAGGAGTAGGGTGAATACAAAAATTGATTAATTATAATTTGTTACATACACATATATAAATGACCCAGTATCAAATTATAAATGGTTCAAGAATGACCATTCTTACATTCCACACAAACATTTTACAAGATTCACCTTGTTATCAAGCCAAAAAAAGAGTATTAACTACCCTCATCTGCTGGTCACAAGAGCCAAACAGCTAGTTGACTGGACATCAATAACCGTACAGTCATTGGTATCACACTCCAAATTAGAGTTTGTTCGGAAAAATTCACTTTATCCCTTGTGGTATTGTCAACGTGTGGAATAGAATGCACTGCCATAATTTCCATCCAAATTAACTATAGGTGCAACTCACGTGCCTTTTAGAGTTGTTTTTTCAGGAAAACAAAAAAATATATATATTTTACAAAATCATAGAAAAGGCCATTGTCATTTTCACCACCACCCCTACTTCCCCACCCTCACTGGTAAACCCTCCCTCCCTGCCACCTTACCTCACTTTCCCCTATTTTTGAAGGTTTTTGAAACAAGAATAAAATTCATTCCCTCGATATGGTTAATATCCTGCCAAAAACACTTTCTTAGGACCTATGAACCAATGGATTCAGTTCAATTGTAACCAAACCATGACAAGATCAACAAAAAAAGAATATATCAGAATTAAAGTAGCAGGAGGCGAACCCAAATTGAAGTTGCAGCAAAAAAGAATATATCAGACAACCATTGTCTGTATTTTATGGTTGCTTCTGTGTTTAATCTGAATTTGGTTCTGGTTCAGTTTTTTATTCAGATTTGGATAGTTCTGGTGGTGGCACTCCATTTTTCTTAACTGAAGCAGTCTTTGTGAGATGATTGTATCAGCCCTTCTCTTTAAACAGCTGAGCAAATGGAGCTTGCACTAGAGGAATCTGTCAAGAGCAACATAAGACCAGGTTGTCAGCCTCCGTGGGGGTGGGCCGGGAAGGAAGGGGTTTGTTTTGTTGGTTTATATACATATATCTATGTATATGGGTATAGTTCAGAAGAGAGAAAGGAGATGAAGGTATTTATGTCAATTTACAAGTATCATTAACAAAAGTTAGCAATGTGCTTTAGTTTACAAACCACAACCTTATTCATATTGATGACTCAGATAAATCTTAAACCTGTGGAGTACAGGCCACGTAGAGGATCCCACTGATCAGGACTATATTGCCAACTCTAATAAAAAATATGGTTAATTTCACTTACCTCCCATGAGGTTTGGCAAAAATACAGGAAGACCAGGATGTTTTAAAAATAGGCAAGGACCTCCTCTATTGTCTATGGTTGTAGAGATGTTGAACCACAAGGGGTAAACAAGCCATTCGGTAATGAATAAAGAATCAAAAAGCTATTTTGATGTCTTTATAAGGGACATTTTGTTGGCACTTGCCAGGACATTTTTTAACTTTTGCCAAAGAATGTCAATTGTTTAAAAGTAATGGATGGTTGTGACTTTCTCTTAAAAGAACCAAAATTGCAGTGGAACCTGGAGATACAGAGCTTATGTGTCAGACCATAAAATTTTGATTAGCTGGATGACATTATTGCAAAAGTTACAGAAACAGAACAAGCAGAAAATACATAAATCAACAAACAAGTCTGAGCATAAGAAACATAATACGGTCACATGGTGCATGTACCTCACAAATTGATGCATGAAAAGATGAAGCATCACAACTTTCATCATGCCTAGGTCAACGAAGTGTACCCCTAGTAGCTTCTAAAGCACTAAGCGTTTTAGGACTGAATATATGCATTGTATTAGGGAAAACCAGTAGCTTTTGCAAGGTGGAAAAATACAAGGTCAAGAAGACAAGCTCAAGAAAATGGGTTCAAGGCAGAGGCAGCCACTTTCTACAAATATAGCTGAAGATTAGATCTCATACACAGGCTACCTTCCTATCACCTTGAATTGACAGGAGCCCTAGGTAGTGGGGCTTTTCTTGAAGACAGCTGCCCGAACCAGGCCTAGAACACCAGACTACCACTTAGAGAAATAGATGATAATCTAACGAATGCAAATACATCAAAAGGTAAAGACCCTATATGATCCTGGACTTCATGCAAATTATATCTTCAGTATGATTATTACCTTCTTATTTCTTTTATGCATTGTGTGCATTCTAGTAACAGAAATGATATCAAACAGTGAATGTAAAGGAATGAGGTCAAATCTGTACCTCAGCAGATTCAGAAGTTTCATCCTGACTAGGAAGCTGAAGAGTAACTAGCCCTCCAGCTTTTCTGCTCTTGCCCCTCCCACTAGCTTTACGTAGTATGCTAATGGCATAACTAGAATTATTTTCTTTCCCAAGAACTTTATTATATTTTGGTGCTTCCCAGCCTGATTTTTGACACAACTGTTGAAGAACAGCTTTAGGAATCCTTTGTGGGTCCCCCTGTAGCCATATAGACCACATCACAAAACAAGAAATAGGTATTGTCCGGTACAGTAACACAAATAAACACGGCAAGAAAACAAAAACTAAGCCAAACATGAATCGAAAAAGTTGAAGATTAAATAAGGGCTTTCCCATAAACAGAAATAAAAGGTTTGTAAACTTGTACATAAAGAATTATGAGAACATGAACGAACATAATTATGCACTATATACTATTCTATCTCCTGCAGCATATGAATTGCAATTGCCAGATCCTATTTTTCTTTTTTATTGTTTTTAAGTTTCTTTTGACAAATAACATGTTCTGAACAATGAAATTGTTTTCAACAACAGAAGTAGAAGTAAAAAGCAATCACAAAAGCAACATTTTATTATGCACCACCAAATATAAAAGTCAGAATCTATTACGAATCAAGTATTGCATTTTCAAGTTTCTCTAGTACACTAAGTATCATCACAACACATTCATTGCAATGCTGATTTTACCTTCTTCCAGATGCCTTCTAGTTTCTCTAAATTCTTGCCACTGGCCAATTCTCTCATCTTCTCTTTCTTTTGTAATTCCACAACTTCAGGAGGCAAAACGTCACCTGGCAAGACATCTTCTAAAAAGAAACTCCCAAGCTCTACATCCCTAGATTCCTCTTCCAAAGCCGGGGCAGGAACACTGACAGGACTTTGTTCAGGTGAAAGGTCCAGTAATGTGAGACCCTTTCCATTTACTTTTGATTCAACTGCAGGTAGAACAGATGCCATGTCACCTTCTTCATTGCACAAAGCAAGAGTTTCAGGGTGCTTGGAAGGTATGAAGCTATGAAATGCATCGTCAGATGCACTAAAGGAAGAACTATCATGCCCTGATGCCAAGATTTCATCTGATAGTCCTGTTCAGCAAATTCAAACTGCATGAAGAATGCTATTGAATAACCAAACCTCAACAGAATTACTCAAAGGAATTAGTTCAACCTAGGGCAGAAATCTCATGCTTGAGCTTGCGAATAATTTGGCTTGCTTGTTGTTGGCCTTTCTTGTCACCTCTCTCTTTGGCATTTATAGCTTCTAACCGTGCATTGTGGTATTCTTTGACAAGAGAATCATTAGAAACCCTTGGTTTTGGAACCTATCAGGGGGTGGGGGAAAGGTAGGCAATATTAAAGCAATTAAGCATCAAATTGAACATTAAAAGTCACATTATTCAACTGCTTTGTGTCAGAAAATAACATAAATCTTACTGGAGGAGAATATCTCATAAAACAAAGAGAGATTATGCTGTTTGTCTGGCTAACAAATGTAAGAGGACTTCCATACAAGCACAATCTCTACTGGACAACCAAAGCAGGAAGAAGAAGCTTAAGAGTTGAAAGACAAGGATACCTCATTATTTTATTGACTTCATAGCAACATTGAAGAATAATCAATGGAATTCTGATATTATGACAGTGGTACAATGACAAAACCAAAAAACGTACATTTGGTACCTGAAACAGAATGCCATTCCAGCTTTCCAGAATTGAGGCCAATGGGTAATTTTTTGGTGATGCTGTCTCAATATTGTGGTGTCTAGCATGGCTTTCTTTGATCAGTAATCGGCCTTTGTTTTAGACACAAAAGGCACAGGGAATGGGATAAAAAACATGTGGGGCCCACATGTTTTCCCTTGCCTCCTAGTCCCATTCTTTCCCACATTTAGTTGGCTGGATATAGGGTATTAGATATCCTGCTAGACATGCAATCCCACAAAATCATAATATAACTAATACCAGCCCCTAGTACAGATGTATAACTAATATCCCCTCTGCTCTGGATTATCTCCCTTTCTTCATCCAAAGGAAAAAATAATGTACCACATCTTATCTCATTCTTTATTCCACTACAATGAAACATAATACAATAATTCCATGAATATATAACAAATCCACTGAATGTCATATGGTATACCCAAAAAATAACATTTGGGACCGACATTATTAATCGGCCCTCTCATCCCCCTAATTCCATCCCAACAAACAAACATGGACAAGGAGTTAAAAATTGTTGTTTATTCTTTGAATAATTCTAACAATCTAAACCTAGATTAGTGACTGAGGTGCGAAAAGAATCAAAGAAAATAGAATCTAAAGTAATTTCTTTGGGAATTGCAGAAGTGTCAAATGAATATTTTCAGCTGACATGTTATAGGTCTACGATCCAATAGGAAAGCAGGACTATTAATAAATAAGCATCCCAAATTATTACGCTTAAACAAATAACCCCCTGCTAACTTAGCAAGTGAACTAAGAGGTAATAAGATTATTTGAGTCCTAAAGCTAGTATGTTTTGTGACATAAGAGCTCTAAATAAAGGAAGCAACGTCAACATATGCCAACTAAAATGTACTTTTTTAGAAATTTTAGGGTTGTGCCTTACCCTCTATACAAGGATGTAACTTCACTCTGCTTGAGTGGAAGAACATTAAGTTTTTAGAAGTAAATAACAATCCCACAACCATCTCATTGCTTTCGTAACCAGTCTGCCAATCCTTCAAATTGTAAGTACAAAGACTCCATCCATGATTTGAGAAGATAGTAGTGCGACTTCAAGATGCTATTTTGTTCATAATTCTATTCTTTTTTAAACAAATTGTAATTTTCCTTTTGGGAGCCTCCACTGAAGCTCCAGTGGAACTTTCCCCAACTTCTGGAGTGTATCTTTATCTTTTATTTCTCACAAAATACAAAAGATGGAATATGAAAAGAATTCTTTCTCTGTGATTATTTAGGCTCACATATTGTGCCTTGCCTATCCAACAAAAGAAACTTGGCATTTGAGTTCAGCACACATGGTTCAGGATTACCTAGACTCGCATATAAAACAAAAATTAAACCTCCTTGCACCCACTCAGGAAACTCTCTTACACAGAATATTTGCCTGCATGACTAATTAATAAGAGGGAGACACTAAAGTCTCAAAAATGTAAACCAATGATTAATGTTCCTCCAAAAAATACAATACACATAATTACTTTATGTACCATAAAAAAAATATAAATAAATAAATAAATAAAAACTGAAATTACCTCATCAACTGCATCATCTTCCCAACTTTCGGAAGCATCCTGCAAATGACAGAGAACCATAACATATTCCTTCATAGTGTTGACTATTGTCAATGCAAGCTCTTTGTACTAATATATAATTAGAAATTTTCCAAGCAACAAAAACAGCATGTCTTGGCATTTCCGCACAAATACAATGAAAATCCAGAAGAATATGAAACAGTCAAGGAATAAAATAGCAACTCTGAACTTGTTAAAATTTTGGTGCTCTTATCATCTCATAACATAACAGACAAAGAAAAGGGGTCCTAACAAAGTTATTCAAAAGGAGTTTCATAAGCTTCTAGTTCCCCTGCTCATAAATAATAAATAAGTTTAGCCCACAAAACTACCCCACTCCTGATTTGAGTTGGAGTGTTCCCAACCTTGTGGTTGGATATGTAGAAATTTAAGTAATGAACTAATTAAGATAAGGGCTTGAACCTTTCTTTCTTCATCTTCAATTAAATTACAACTCAATAAAATAGACAATATTCAGAAACTCTTAGACACACTAAAATTCAACTTTAGTCGTATTATTTTTTGGACAGCCAACTGAAAAGACTTGTGAAGCTGGTTAATATGATCTTGTACAAGCTGACAATGAGTGAGGAGAATTTTGCCAAAGGATTCCGGGTACCTCTTCTTGTTGTTCCACATATTGCCGGATCCAATCTGCTTGTGATTGCTGGAAAGAATTTAGAGTATCATCATCTGAACGTCCCTTTATTCTAACAGAAATTTTAGGTGTTTCCTCCTCATTCTTATCAGACGAATCCACCACAGGACTCCAATCATCCCGTGCAGTTGATATGATGCTAACAGCACCTCCTAGCATAATTGGATTAAGCAGGATGTTACAACTTATGTTAAAGCACAATTCTCCATGTCCCCACAATAGATTGCCATGAACATGTAGTTATCAGTATAATAAATTTCCCATTGAAAAGAATTGCTTAAGAATACCTTCATTTGTGTAGAGAGAAGTGCCAGTAGAAAACTTCAACGGAAGCTCATTCCCGGGCAAATTCAAGCATAGCCAATCAAGGGCACCCTCAAAGGTAGTGCCCTCCTGGGCAACACAAATAGAACAAACCCATCAATTTTAAAAGTATCCTTGCTAATTCTTTTCCAATAAAATTTAAAAATCACCAAAAAATGGAATAAGGCAACAAATATTGAATAGCACAACCATATAAATATAAGAAGGTTCACAGCAATGTAATTTATTCAATGAAGATTAGAAAAACAAGAATACAATTAAACAGAACACTCAAATACTGAACAGTACACAAATGATAACATGTGCATATATGTAACAACAGTTTAATTAAAGGGCATATTGTGACCGTAGTCCTTTGGTCCTTATGTCATTTTGGTCCCTATAATTTCAATGGGCTCGATTTTGACCTTGAATTTATGATTTTGTTTTAATTTGGTCCAATTGATTACAACTCTTAACATTTTTTATGAAAAATATGTATATAAGTGACATGTGTCATATTTTTTAGATTAAAATTATAAATTTACTAAATTCAATGAGTTAAAACTCAACAAATCCATTGATTATTTTCTATCAGAAAGACTGATGGCACTATCAATTGGATCAAATTGACACAAAATTTAAAATTAAGAATCCAAATTGAGCCAATTGAGAGTGGAGGGACCAAAATGATACATGGGCAAAATGTAGAGGCCGTAATTTGCCTTAAAGGGTAAACTACTAATAGATCCTAATAGTTTGATTTAATTCTCATCAAATTTTATTAAAAATAAATCCTAATAAAATTGTCGCTGAAAATTATTTTTTGTGATTTTTTACATGTTAAAAATTGACAATGATTTTTTTTGTCACGATTTTTATAAATTGTCACTAAAATTTGCAATTAGTGACACTTTTCTATGACGAATTTTTCAAACTGTCACTGAAAGTTTTATAAATTAGTAACTTTTTTTGTGACGATTTTTTAAACTATCGCTAAAATTTATAATTAGTTATTTTTTTTGTGACAATTTTTAAACTGTTACTGAAAATTAATAATTAGTGACTTTTTAAAATGTATTTAATGAAAAACATTATTAACTATCATAAAAACTATTGGACAATAAATATACTAATAAGAGGTAAGTCCCCCACTAAATAAATGACAAAATGTCTCGTTTGTCAACGATATATTTCAGTCAAAACGTCATTATAAGAGCATCTCTAATATCCCCTCCTTACCTATTTTAAGGGGTTTGATGGCCCCTATACATTTCCAGCAGCTCCCTTAAACACTCTCCTAAAATAGGAATTGCTACACTGCCTCCCTATTTGTAAGGAGTCACTGTAGCACTCTTATATATATATATATATATATTGCTTTACTTTGTTTAGGAATTGTAGTACACAATTATAATTTTTATTTTTTTAAAATTTATAATGAAAAATTATATTTTAATTGAATAGGGAAAAAATTAGAATTCGTTAATAGAATAGATGAAAAAATGATTCTTGAAATAGGAAATAAATTTTTTAACAATATTTTATGATAAAATATAAGTAATTTGATAGGATGCTCTAAATTATCACATTACTCTTCCTAATTTTTTATTAATTTTTTTGTAAAATGTTAAAAAAGTTATTAAAATAATCTGTTTCCAAACGAAATATAATCAACCAAAACCATGGAAACAATAAATATGATGTTAATGGTATCATAATATAGAAATCTCTCTCTCTCTCACACACACACACACAAACCAAAAAAAAAGGAGCTTAATTCAGACCTAAATTCAGCGGATACATTCGCTTCAAATGCAAATGTTTTGTCAGAAAATATAATAATAATAATAAAATCACACAATTGGGGCACGATCCTGAACTGGACTTGTACTAAGTTGAGTGGAGCTGAAGTTTTTTTTACTTGTCATTTATTTTCCTATGTTTTATCGGGAACTAAACAGGGATCAAATTCAAAGGTAACCTTGAGAGCGGAAAGAGCGCGTTCGATTTGATCATCGGAGAAGCCTTCGCAAGAGAGCTTCTCGTAGATGGACCGAAGCTTCTTGGCCTTCTGGATTCTGGAAAGAGACTCGTCGGCCGGAATTGGGGCCGGAGACAACTGTGCGGACCGGCCGGAGTTGAGCAAGAGTCGGCGGAGCCGGTTCTCGTTCTCGGTCGTTATCTGGAGCTTCGGACCGGTCGAAGATGAAGAAGATTGAGATTTGGCTTTGGACGATGACGAAGATGACTTTTGCTTCTGCTGCTGCTGCTTCTTTTTCGGAGCCATTTTAGAGAGAGAGAGGGAGACAGAGACAAATCAGAGAGAGAACGCAAAGACAGGGATGACTGAGTTCGGTGGGCCGGTGGGCTTGAAAATGGTGGACGAGTAGATAAACCTATTTACTTTTTTGGGACTCTGATTTGTTGGACCAAACCGAGCTAATATGGGCTAATTCTTGGGCCCTTAGGCCATTTTTTGAAATTTGAATCCAAAGTTGATTTTGACCCAGCCCAACAACAAATGTCAAAATCTGTGCTAAATCCATACCAAAAAAATCCATGATGAAAAAATATATACCTATATATATTGTTACAAAAAATTTATATAAATTTTTCTATAGATGTGTTTTTTTTTTTTTTTGGCAATGAGGGTATATGCATGGATTTTTTACAAAAAATCTTTAATTGGTGATTGTCGCATTGATTTTTTATTAAAAAATGCTACATATTTATTTATTTTTCTCACTCCCAACTGTTACACGGAAGAAGATAACTGAACCCAAATTGCGCAAATGTACTTTCTATGGTGTGTTGCAATCTTCCTTAGGTTTGTCTTAAGTACACTGTAAACTAGGGGTAATTATTGGATACATCGGAGTATCATGTGACATTATTTATGTGGTGATTCACACGAATAGTATGGCAATAAATGTTATGAATGAGATATGGTGACAATGGATTATCGACACGGTATGATACTCCCGAACTATATAATAATTTTACGGGGTTGTTGGTTTTCATGGAAGCATCACAAGTCGTGTCTGGATGATTTCAATTATTGATTCTATTTGGGCTTATGTGTGAATCATTAATAAAATAAAATAAAAAAATTAGATCAATTAGGTAATCAAAACCACATTATTCCATTATATTTATCATTAAAAAAATGGGCATTAGCTCTAGTTACAAAAATAAACTATTTAAAAAAAAAACAAATATAATAAAATTATATACTATGATTATCTGATCAATTTAAATTTTTTTTTATAAATTATTTACACATAAAATCTAACAAAATGAATAATTTAAATTATTGAAATAGTGCCCAACAACATTTAATCCACTATAGAGACAATCCTATTACAATGTTTTACCCAAATTTCCTGGTTGACTAACTAAGAGACACCTTACACTTCCAGTCCTCCAATATTAAGAATTAAATAAATAAATAACAAATAACAAAGTCATGGAAAGTTCAGAGTAAATGGGAAAATCAATTCAATGTTATTCAATTTCATGTGGGGGTGAAGGAATATCCGCATACACCGAACAGACCAATCACACTGACCGGTTTTCGGTCTATTTTCTACACAGTCAATCAATCGGTTTGTGTTGAGATTTTTTTTCCTTTTAAATTCGGTTTGGTGTTTGGTTGTTGAGATTTCACACTAAACCAAACTGAACCGAATTTACAGAACATTCAAATAATACATAAGCATTACCTCTTATTATTTTTGAATTTGATATTTGATAAATTAGTCTTAGTACAATTAGGTCATGTTTGATTCACAAGATTAATAGTGAAATATTAATAATCTTATTAAATTAGTGTGGTATTCACTATCCAATTGGGTTAATATCCACCGGATTAATAATCTCACCCCTACCCCATTACTAATAATCTTACAAATTTGTTGGATTAATTATCCATTGGATTAATAATCCTAAACCAAAATATTAAAACAAACATAGGATAATTGGGTCCACAGATTAATAATTCCAACCTTATACTCTAATCCACCGAATCAAACATTGTCACTTTATATCCTAATAAGATTGATCTAATTTATTTATTTATTTACAAATAAAGGCAGTTATTATGATTATTATTATTTTTTAAAGCAAATGACCAGTAAACTGCATCCAACCAAACCAAAATCAAATTTACCAGTCTGGTCCGTTTTACTTGTTCTAACCGGTCTGTTCAGTAGTGTAAATGCAGAAAACCGATTTTACCGTTTCTATCCAAAAAAACATGCAAAATCGGACTGAACTAGACTGATTTCACCCTGAGAGGGTAATTTTTGGTAAAAATTGGGCCGAGCTATGTGATGGGCTTTGTGGCCCAAAGTGCCAAGGACTGGGTGAAAAGGCCGCAATGTTACTCCGGTCCAGGAGAAGTGTAGTTACTCCGGCCCAGGGAGGTATAGTTACTCCAGCCAGGAGAAGTAAAAGTTGCTTCGGCTTAGGGATTGTAAAGCTACTCCGGTCCAGAGGCAACTTGGAGTTAGGCCGGTCTCAGAGTTAGTCCGATCACGGCGTATTATGGTTAGAACAGTCAGAACCTTGCTACTCGGAAGCTCGGTTTAAGCACACCATGGGTTGTACATGAGAAAACCGAGATAAGGATGGAGTTAAAGGTGGAACCGAAGTAAGGGTGGTTCGGCCTTCTCTGTGGCTCAGCATAGCCAGTTTTATTTCGGTCATGATTGTAGTTCGGCCATGGTAAAAACCATCTCACTTGGTTTAAGCAGTGAGGGGGGTGTGGAAGGATAAGCATTATCTTTCAGGAGTATGAATCCTAGGAGGACTCTGCATAAGAGGAGTACAAGTCCTACTAGGATTGTGCCACACAAAACCTATAAAAGCTCACAAACATCACCTTGGAAATCTTTAATTGGTGATTGTCGCATTGATTTTTTATTAAAAAATGCTACATATTTATTTATTTTTCTCACTCCCAACTGTTACACGGAAGAAGATAACTGAACCCAAATTGCGCAAATGTACTTTCTATGGTGTGTTGCAATCTTCCTTAGGTTTGTCTTAAGTACACTGTGAACTAGGGGTAATTATTGGTTACATCGAAATATCATGTGACATTATTTATGTGGTGATTCACACGAATAGTATGGCAATAAATGTTATGAATGAGATATGGTGACAACGGATTATCGACACGGTTGATACTCCCGAACTATTTAATAATTTTACGGGGTTGTTGGTTTTCATAGGAGCATCACAAGTCGTGTCTGAATGATTTCAATTATTGATTCTATTTGGGCTTATGTGTGAATCATTAATAAAATAAAATTAAAAAATTAGACCAATTAGGTCATCAAAACCACATTATTCCATTATATTTATCATTAAAAAAATGGGCATTAGCTCTAGTTACAAAAATAAACTATTTAAAAAAAAACAAATATAATAAAATTATATACTATGATTATCTGATCAATTTAAATTTTTTTTTTATAAATTATTTACACATAAAATCTAACAAAATGAATAATTTAAATTATTAAAATAGTGCCCAACAACATTTAATCCACTATAGACACAATCCTATTACAATGTTTTACCCAAATTTCCTGGTTGACTAACTAACAGACACCTTACACTTCCAGTCCTCCGATATTAAGAATTAAATAAATAAATAACAAATAACTAAGTCATGGAAAGTTCAGAGTAAATGGGAAAATCAATTCAATGTTATTCAATTTCATGTAGGGGGTGAAGGAAAATCCGCATACACCGAACAGACCAATCACACTGACCGGTTTTCGGTCTATTTTCTACACAGTCAATCAATCGGTTTGTGTTGAGATTTTTTTTTCCTTTTAAATTCAGTTTGGTGTTTGGTTTTGGAGATTTCACGCTAAACCAAACCGAACCCAATTTACTGAACATTCAAATAATATATAAGCATTACCTCTTATTATTTTTGAATTTGATATTTGATAAATTAGTCTTAGTACAATTATGTTGTTGTTTGTCACCTTATATCTTAATAAGATTGATCTAATTTATTTATTTTTTTACAAATAAAGGCAGTTATTATGATTATTATTATTTTTTAAAGCAAATGACCAGTAAACTGCATCCAACCAAACCAAAATCAAATTTACCAATCTGACCCGTTTTACTTGTTCTAACCGGTCTGTTCAGTAGTGTAAATGCAGAAAACCGATTTTACCGTTTCTATCCAAAAAAACATGCAAAATCGGACTGAACTAGACTGATTTCACCCTGAGAGGGTAATTTTTGGTAAAAATTGGGCCGAGCTATGTGATGGGCTTTGTGGCCCAAAGTGCCAAGGACTGGGTGAAAAGGCCGCAATGTTACTCCGGTCCAGGAGAAGTGTAGTTACTCCGGCCCAGGGAGGTATAGTTACTCCAGCCAGGAGAAGTAAAAGTTGCTTCGGCTTAGGGATTGTAAAGCTACTCCGGTCCAGAGGCAACTTGGAGTTAGGCCGGTCTCAGAGTTAGTCCGATCACGGCGTATTATGGTTAGAACAGTCAGAACCTTGCTACTCGGAAGCTCGGTTTAAGCACACCATGGGTTGTACATGAGAAAACCGAGATAAGGATGGAGTTAAAGGTGGAACCGAAGTAAGGGTGGTTCGGCCTTCTCTGTGGCTCAGCATAGCCAGTTTTATTTCGGTCATGATTGTAGTTCGGCCATGGTAAAAACCATCTCACTTGGTTTAAGCAGTGAGGGGGGTGTGGAAGGATAAGCATTATCTTTCAGGAGTATGAATCCTAGGAGGACTCTGCATAAGAGGAGTACAAGTCCTACTAGGATTGTGCCACACAAAACCTATAAAAGCTCACAAACATCACCTTGGAGGAGGTAACACAAAAAACACAACATACAACTTTGCTTTCTGAATACATTGGAGCTTTGTCTATTTGTCAAGTTTGCTGACTTAGGCATCGGAGAGGTTTCCGGCACACACCCGCCGGCTAGCTCACGTTTGTGTTTTCAGGTGACAAAGCGACGTCGTACGGAGGAGCGTGGACTTGGTCAACAGGATTATACGAGAAGGTGTATTTCTTTCCCGTACAATTGGCGCCGTCTGTGGGAAGAACAGACAGAACAAAACCTCTTGACTAAGTTTCTCCTTTTCTCAATCAATGGCACACATTGAAGAATTGCCGCAGTCCGCCGTCGACGGGCTAACTCCGGATGGGGGCGCAAGACGTGAAGGATTACCCTCTGCCCCTCCCATGGCAGACTTGGAACCCCAACGACATAGCTCCAGGAGGGATGGTAGGGGAAGACGAACTAACAGCCCCCGTCACTCTCGTTCACAAAGTCTTGACAGACAAAGGAGGAGGATTGATCCTCA